AAACTGTATTCCAAGGACTCCACCAGTATAGAATGACCATCAACCTTGACAAATGTGAATTTGGCAAGACCCAAATGAAATTCCTGGGGCATTTGATCTACAGACAAGGAATTAGTTCAGTCCATGATGATGCACAAGCTATTAAAGATTACGCACTACCCAACTGTTTTAAGAAATCACCAAGACTTTTGCGTCTCACGAATTTTCACCGTGGTTTCATTGCCAGCTGTGTTACGGATTGCAACTGTTAGTTTGCAACTGTTTACGTGGACGTAGCCATTCATTTCAATTGCCAGCAGAATTCATTAAATCATTCGAAACCGTTAAGTGAGGAGACACTTCTAGTCAGACGCCAAAAGGAAGTTCCTCTTGCCCTCATGACGCACACGTCTCTGGAGCAGTTCTACAACAAAAACCACACGGTGAGTGACAAACCCTCATCAATAATAGCTGACATATTCATGGATTATTGGGAAGAGAATGCCCTTAAACCATTCAGGTCATCACTGAAATGTTGGTGGAGATATGTAGACGACACACTAGTAATAGTGAAAGAAAACGATATTGAGAAAGTCTTCTCACACATAAACAGCCATGTCAACTCAATAAAATTCACTATGGAAGTAGAGAATAAAATTGGGGAACTATCTATGTTAGACTGCAAAATACAAAGAATAACAGATGGTAGCATTAAAACGACGCTATATAGAAAAACCACACACTCTAGAAGATTCCTTGATTATCACTCAGCTCATCCACTCACGGTGAAACGAGGATTAATACAAGGTCTTGCAGATAGAATACGTAGACTTACAACAACGCCAGAGGACCAATGTAAAGAAATAAACGTCCTATTCAAAATGCTACTCGAAAACAACTACCCAAAAGAATTTATAAAAGATAATATAAAAAAGAGAAAAAAGAGGGTAAAGCCGGAGAATATCAAGATGGAAGAATGCAAAAAGACAATCACAGTACCATATAAAAATGGTACATCAGAGGCAATTCAAAGAAACCTCAAAAATATCGGCATTCACACAACTTTCAAACCGACAAATCTAATCAAAAATAAAATAAATCAACTGAAAGATCCCATAAAAATGATGGATAAAAACAACTTGATTTACAAAATATCTTGTGCTGACTGTCCAACTAAATATGTGGGGCAAATGTCCAGATCACTCAAAATAAGAGTGAATGAACATAAACGCCTAACCAAAGGTCAACAAACAGGAACACAAGCCTACAAAAATCTTGAAAAAAAATTCATCGATAGCTGCACATGCATGGGACAAAAACCACAATATCGATTGGGACAATGTGTGTACTCTAAAAACTAACATGAACAAATGGAAAGAAAGACTTATAACAGAATCGATATTCATTAAAGTCACACCGGATACATGTAACAAGGGTGACTCAGTACAACTATCAACAACTTGGAATATAATTCTGAATACAAACACATGAATGAACGTGGAATACAACTCAAATACAAAAAACAAAACATGAATGAGCAAAAATAATGAACTATATATATGAGTACAAATCATGAATGTGTGAATCAAACAATTCCAACAGTGGTGTGAACACGGGCAGTAATTTTGCTCGAAATATTACCAATAACAAAACTTATCATTGTGTGTAAACTATTGAAATATAATTATACTTTAATTGATCTAATCCACAATGTTCAAACTTTTTACTGATATTAACCCTTGCATTCTGTTCAAGACGACTTAATCCTACTCCTTGTCGGTATAGCACCTTCAATAGAGAGTTACTAGCTGTTTATTTATCCATCGAACACTTTACACATGTGCTGAAAGGTACAGCTTTTACTGTCTTTACCGATCATAAAGCTCTAACGAAAGTCAAACAAGATAACTACTCGCCTCGTGAACTACGACATCTTGAATTTATATCCAGGTTTACCTCAGATATTCGACACGTAGAAGGTAACAACAATGAAATTGCAGACGCTGTGTCTTGTATGCCCTTTCACAATAATGTATGTCCCTATATCGATTACGAACATCTCACAACCTTACAAAGAACTGATAGTGAACGAAAGACGATTATGTCTTCTAAATCGTCATCCTTAGAACCCACCAAAATTCCTTTCGGCAAAACGACAGTATTCTGCAATACCTCTACGCGGTAAATGTCGACCTTTTGTTCCAGCAGCTATGAGACGCAAATGTTTTGAGAACATTGCGTAAAATGTTTGTGCAGACTAAGGCAACAATAATAAAAATAAATTCAGGATCTCAAGGCAATTTATTCTTAGAGAGTACCTTTCTTTCCGGTGTATTACTTAGTAAGTTATAAGCATATTCACAAAACCCGGGACCATTTAAACCCTCTACATTAGCTCATTTAGTCACTAACACACTAGAAATATTCGTCTAGTAGTGGTCACAAAGAATACTTTTCTCCAAGTCTTAAGTGTACTATACTGAAGAGATCAAAGAGATACAAAGTTCCGGTTTAGTCGATCTTATTGCAACAGCTTCAGCTATGTGTCGATCAGCTTTCAGGGTTATATACCGAATTCCGAAGTCGTTATCACGTACAGTTCGCTTACGTCTTCTACACATAGCTGAAGCTGTTGCAATAAGATCGACTAAACCGGAACTTTGTATCCAAAAGGAACACGTTCAGACGCTGTTCCTACCGTGGCCAAGCTTGGATTGATGATTCTTCTTCTCACCAAGAGATCAAAGAGACATCATAATCGCATCTACCCATCGAATAACTTAAAAGCCTAACATAAATACAAAAGTTCACAACAATAGTTCTATTACACCAGTTAACACACTCATCACCTATCACACCTGATTGATCTATTTCGGTAAACAGTTTATAATGAGATGGCTACACATTGGTTATAATTCAGTAAGCAGTTAGATTGAAATTATATTTAAGATATCTAAAGGATTTATTTCATATTAACATCTCTTAAATTCTTTCAAGAAAACTGTAGCATTTCCACATTTAACTTATAGTTATGCATCACTGAGCTTAATAAACAAGTTCATTCATTATTTATACTCTTCTCTCCGTTTTGGGCTTTCACACAATGATGATGATGATGATGGTGTCGATAGTAATACTCTTCTTGATCAATAAATCTCTTTTTAATTCACACACTGAGTCTTTTAAGATGAAAAATCTCTTTCAATTAACATATAAATAAATAAAACTTGAAAATTATAACCCCTCTTCATTTATTTACATTCTAATAAATAGATTTTGTCTTCCAAGTGAATCTGAATAATGTGATAGAAAAAGTTGATTTGCAACACTAGTGACTCACTGCAAGATAAAGTTGCACGAAGTTCTAGTGGAAATTCGTGATCGGCCGTGTCGACCAGGTTGGACATGAGGACAGATACTCATTGATGATATTGGCTGGTGTTCGCGATACACTGAGAATTCCTAGAATTGATGGATCAACGGATTCCGTCCACTGGATGAATAGTATAAGTCTTCGCCTCATAATATGAAGGCCCAAGGTACGATCCCTGGTATGGTCATGGAGTGTGTGACGTTGAAGATTCTCAAACAAGGACGAAACAGCTATCCATTACTCTGTGGTTTATTAATGTTCTCTAAATGAAGTCACTTAGTGATCACAATTTATAGAAAATGGTTTGAAGAAGTATTTCTTCAACAATTTTAGAGCTTAGTGATCATGTTTGCGAAATAAACTTGAAAGTTGAACTGTTTAGTCTGTATAGAAGCAACAACTTTCAATAGAACTCAAGAATGATACTAGACATTAATTGATCATAGTTCACATGCAGCAGCACATATTTTCACCTTGGAAAATTCAGTGCTCTCCTTACCACTTTCATTGTCTCTATACTTCAATTCGTTAACACTATGTGAATGACGCAATCCCACACTTTCATCGAAAACCGACATCGTTCACACGATCACTGAGAAATCAGGATGCACTACACTACACTAGATGTCTTTTTCATCCCAGTTTGGGATTTTTCAGGAGTGCGCACGTACAGCACCATCACACTGATACAATGCCTGCCATTCAGCCACCAGGCTCGAATGATTAGAATGGCACATGAGTTCATCAGTGGCCTTTATATTTTCATTAGTTTATTCGAAAATCTCCTAATACCTTCAGTAAATCTGAGCTACAAATCAGTTAATTCCCGTTCAACAAATTTGAATCCCCCCTCAGAAACTTGTCTTATAAAAAGAATGAATGATGGAAGCAAATGTTTGGAATTTGATGTGGTGAAAATCGTTATAAGGTAAGAATGAAGTTGCAAAGCCCTTATCTCCATTGTGACATTGACTACTATAAGTTGATTTCCTTTTTGACCTTAGAAACCACTTCTGAGTAACTGTATCAGTTATGTTGCATACTCTCTATATTACTCAGTAATATTTTCGGGAAATATAAATAAGATTTTGTAGCCCATGATGATGACTTCGTCAATGGAGAGTGTTTCCTCCACTGAATCATCTTTTATCTTCTTCAATATTACTCAAGTTTAGTCTCCCGAACCGCAGGTGATATTAGATAGTACAAACAAAGCATCACTGTATTGCATTTTGTTTGGTATAATTAACTCATTTTGATTTCTTTTTTAAATATATGAATTTATTGCCTCTCACGCTGAATAATAATAATAATGGCAACAACAATGCGAATTCCCGTTACCTTGCTACAATGAGACATACATACACAGTGTTGCAGGAAACAGACTGGTAAATATGGAAAATTTATAACTTATTTCAGGCTAGTTTAAATTTCAGCATCTCAATGAATGGATGTTCTCTAAGGCTGAATGAAACGCAACAGAAATCAGAAAGCCGTCCACGACTGGCTCGAAGTATTTTCGACTGGGTATATTGAAGTGTAATTGCCGTTACACATGACGCCAGAAATTAATGACTGCCATTCAAATATTTATTTGCACTATACAAATGTATATAAAATATATATATTACAATTACATATTGAACAATTATTCTTGTTGAACAAATGGGTTTGGTATAGCTTCCATTCCATCTGCGGGACAGACTAGTTCAACTGATGGGCCTCTACAATGAGAAAAATATATAAACATACAAAATATACTGTAATGCTTGTAAATGAATTTTCGTTAATATGGAACTTGACTTCTTTTCAATTTCAATCAGTCCTTAACAAAATAGAACTCAAAATTACTGAGTAGAGGTGAGTGAAGCTACGGCGCACCTCATGTGTGCACTTCAAAGAAGTACGATAAAGAGAGAGAACAGACTAAAGGTCATAGAGGTCATCGTGATAGGAAGAAGATGGAGCAGATAAGAAAATACGGCATTGCAGTTAGGGTGAAAATAAGATATTGATAATAAATGGACACTACTTCACGGATTCTGAACCACTTCAACCGGCATCTCTGACTGTAGATAATCGAATCTATGAAATTGATAATGTTTTTCAGTCAGGTTTGGAAGGAAGGAATGATGCCTACTGAGAGGAAGAAAGGCTGGTTACCTTGTCAAGCTAGCAAAGAAGGGCGACCCAGTTAAACCTCTGCAAGAACTGACTGGCATGGAATAATGCTCTAGTCCACAACAAGTAAAATACTGAGTCGCATCATCCTGGAGAGACTAGAACATGCACTGGATGAAGAACTGCGCCAGTCGGGACTAGCTGGATTCAGGAAAGGCAAATCATCTGGTGATCAAATTGCAACCTTACTCATCATCATCATCACAAAACAAAGCATAGAATAGCAGTCAAACCTGTCTCTACCTCAACATCATCGACTTTTAAAAGTCTTTCGACAGGCAGCGTTGACCAAGAAGTAGTTTGGAAAATACTTTAACACTACAGAGTGCAGTACCCAATTATTTGTCAGCCTTATTCAACAGCTATATGATAATGACACGTGTCAGGTGATACACAACGGAAAACTCAGAGAAGCCGCCTTCGCAAGTGAATACAGGAGTAAGACAAGGATGCCTGCCTATTATCACCAACGATTATATTCCTAATTGTGGTGGACTGGATTATGCGTCAAAATGTGTGAGGCGAGTGACAAGACAGGAATACGATGGACCCCCGATAAGAAGACTCTAGAAGATCTGGATCTCGCGTGTTGATGATATATGTCTAGTGTCACACAAACTCGAAGACTTGCAAACGGAAACCGACAAACTGTCAGGGGAAAAGCAGAAAACACGGGACTTCAAATGAACATAGATAAGACGGAGGTGACGAAGATCACCAACCAACCAACAACAACAACAACCAGCATCAACCACTATCAATGGGAGAGATTCAACAGAGACTACTTCCTTCACTTATCTAGGAAGCAGGGTTTCAACGACAGGCGACAGAACGGGTGAAAATGTCAGCGGGAGCATTGGAAATGCAAGATACACCTTCATTATACTGAAACCAGTTTGAAAATCTTCTTCACTCAGCCTAAACAGCAGGATTCGGATTTTCAGCACAAGTCAGTCAGTTCTTCTAAATGGGTCAGAAACTCGCACTGCGCGTCCCCAAAAGCCTTTACAACAGGTTGCAGGCATTTATGAACAGCCACCTTCGCTGGCTCCATGATGAAGAATCAAATGGCCGGCCGGCTAGAAATAATTAGCAACAAGAATCTATGGGGATGGACCAATTAAGAACTTCTTGTTCACATATGTCGAGGGAAATGGACACAGATCGGACATACGCTGAGGAAGCCGTCGAATGATATCGCGCACCAGGCCATTACTCCAATGCAATCCCAATTGGAAACGATGAGTGGGTTGTCGCTTTGAGGGTGACATCATCTAATATACTGTCAAGATAGTCGGGTGAAATTCCTACATTAAATGATGCTACTGCTAACAGTGTAACAGCAGGTCATGTTCAGACAGAACAATTGATAAATCTTTCCACGACCAATATTCCTAGTTATCAATGGTGGAGAGAGATAATTATTCGAGTAGTGCTCTACAAAAATTAACTACTGTTTCAGGCATCTTGTTTCATCGAAATACTAGATTATAAAGTAAAACATCAGGAAGAAAGGTAGTCAAGAGTAAGGTAGGTAGGGAGGCGGCAACTAACCTGCAAACCACAAGACCCAATTCTCTGGTATCTTCAGTCAACCGATGAGGATCATCTGGATCACGGAGGTATTCAGTTGTACAATCGATCACCATATTTTGCAAGTTATCACACCCCTTTAAAATACCAACAGCTTCTCGACCACCGGAAAATTTGACACGAATTCGTTTGTCTATATACCTGTTCAAATCGATAATGGACTCTTTTTTATGCTTCTCTTGTGGTTTATCTCCAGTCGGCATCTTGCTAGAAATGAATAAACGAAAAAGACAGTTGAGTGACGGCAAATTCTAATAATAAGTAAGAGAATGAAAGAAAATATCTCACTTGTATTGCAGGCAATGAACGTAACGATTTATGGGATAAGTCTCAAACTTACTGTAAGCTGTACTTCCAACTAAATATATGTTATGATGACTAAATATTTCTTTCTATCTAATTAAAATATATTTTTCGCACTAGCAGCTGACTGATGAAACCTAAGAGAATAAACACAGACAGTATCACGCACATAGGCTAAGTTCATTACTAAGGTGTAGTGAAAATAGCGCTAACACGTTTGCTTCCATATTCTTATTTCCATTCGAAGGCTGGACTATATACCTGGACCTATCTTAAGCAAAAATGGATAACCTAAGCTTATTGTGAGTGACGCTAATCACGATATGTGTCTTGGCAACATGCAGTGCGAGGTTTTCAACTAGAGAACATTCAACAATGTTCAAATTAGGGGGGAGAGGAAGATTCAAATATTAACTAAATGAATAGGAAGAAGCCAAAAGGAAAAAAGAACCAGTAGAACACAAATCTCCCATGGACAAAATGAACATGAAGAGTAGAAAAATTACATTAATACACAAACTTCATTGAATATACAGATAAAGTATTAAGATTTCTACTGATTAATAGTGTTAACTTTCTTTAAGTTATGCTTCTCTTCAGTTTCCTCATAATTAATCTTTTCTCTTCTCAGTCTGTCGTAGTGTATTCTGTAGAAGACACTTCACTCTCTCACTATCAGCAAACACCTCACTCTGATGCATATCGAGTGAGAAATAGAGATATTTTCAGTACACAACACTTAGTAGAATTCAATCAAGAAGTGCTTAGTTCAAAATAGAAAAAGTAGGAATTCCCTCTCATGAATTGTTTGTTTCCTTTAGTTCCTAGAGGAACATAGGGCTTCGGCCGCACATCTGCACTGCGTTCTGTTTTCTGTTAACGTTTTCACCTGGCTCCACATTTGCCTACATGCTTTAATCTCCTCTTCATATGACCTCCTCCATGTCACCCTTGGACGACCAACTCGCCTCTTCCCGTTCGGGTTCCACTCAAGAGCCTGTCGTCTGATGTCACCTGATGGTTTCCTCAGAGGATTGCCAATCCACCTCCATTTCTTCATGGATATTCGTTGCACAATCCGTTCCTAGTTGGTTTGCTCATTGCTAGAGATCCCTGTTGCTGATCTTTTCTGAGCATCTGAACTTGAATGGTATTGAGCGAAGAAATCTGTTGATGAAGGCCCTTTCATAAAACTGTCATTAATATTGAGCCTTATGAGTAACATGAATGTCTGCAACAATTTACCACAAACGGAATATAAAAAGGAGTGCCAATTGGATGATATAACCGATTACAATTAAGTGAAATCTAACAATGCTAGTGTATTTAATAAGCTCTGTATAGCATGATTGCATTGTGTTTCGAAGAAATCTTACACATAGCTACAAGTATTTGACGAAGTTACTTAGGAAATATTTTGCCACACTTGCGAAACCATTTTCATATTTGTAAACCAAGAAGCACATTTTTCTGCCCTTCTAGGAGATCACGTCTTCGTCTAAGAACAGTTCAAACTTATGTTGCTGAACAGAAACAGTTGAACACCTGAAACAAACTGTAAAGCACAGTCGCATCAAGAAATATGTTCAGAAATAATAGTTTACAGAAAAGAGGACAACCACGTAATCTGGAGTAAGCATTTGATTGTTTCCCACTCACACTACTTAAGTGTTAACCAGTAGCTAATATATTCTTAGAGTACAATTAAAGGAGACAAGAGGAAACTAAATGAATAGTGCTATAAAATCAGATATAGACATTTCTGCTGGAAGACAATACAAACAGTTAATATACATGTGTGATTCAAGGCTAAACATCTCATTGGTTTGTAAGCAATGTTAAAAGGTGCATCACACATAAGTGTGACTCATACAAAGCCTTTAATGACATTCGAGTAATCAATCACCTGCAATTCAATTTGAAGGTTGGTGATCAAGAGTGTACGCAAGGCGCCCCTGATGTCGCCGTCCACTATAATATAAAGTGTACACAATACAACTTTGATCCACCATCTCAGATACGATGATCCCTTACTCTCAGATTAAGCCAAAATAAAGCTGAGATTCGAAATGACTTGTTGTTGTGAAGTGAATATGACGACTTGTGGGTGTTTATCACTCAACATTCAAATTAGTGAATGCAGAGTCAAAACGTAACTTAACTTCACATACACTCAATAATAAGTTACATTTATTGTGAAAAGACTGAACAGCCAAACTTGTATCAAGCAAAGTCGGTTTGAACCTGGAGTTGAAATTCTAACAATAATAGGTGACAGCTCCATGAGTTAACAGTGAACCAAACAACTATTACACATATTATTTACAATGAAACATCTTTGATTTTACAGAATTCTACAATACACCACAAAATCCACTTTATGTGTATAAATGGATTACAAAATGCTTTGGAGGCACATATGTATATCAATTTTGACGTTCAAGTCTTATTTTTGACTGAATTTAGATACAAGAATTCAATAACATGTGAAGTTTAATGATTGTTTCATGTACGTTACTTGTCTGATACGCATCAGTAAATAATGACACTATTTACAATAACACCAAAACTTGTGTGTACGTGTATTACTTCTTTGTTTAAGGTAGACTAAATAATTCCATATCAGACAATTTAATTGAATACAACATACAGTGAGTAATGCAGTATTAATAACTGGGCGACATTTCGAGCACAATTAATTGCTCACAATCATATCAGTGTACTTACATGGTCTAATATATGTATATATATAACACCCCCCCCCCCCCGTTGTTGTTCATTGTGACTTTCCATAAATCCGATATAGGCTTTGAGTTATTTCAATTGCACGTGTTGTACCAAAGAAAAAGCCTAACTTGTCGTGTGAGGGCTGATGATATTGTCCAGTTGTCCATAATGAAGCAGGTGAAGTGGGACACAAACCTATGACCTAGTGCTTAAACTACTCAGACACATCTGAATTCGATGTAATCACACATAAGATAGGATAGGGTGAAAGTATTTGAGAGTAATATATTCATGTAGAGGGAGAGAGATAGCTTGAGTCATCGAATCAATACGAACACGTGCAGTTAAAATGATGCAACGCCTATAACAGATATATGGAAAATTATAATGCACAACAAAGTGGAAACAAAAATATACATATATGAGACCGTGTGAATACACTAACACGAGCGATATATACGGCTCGAGAGGTTATTCAGCTATTGATACTGTATTACTGTGTATTATATCAAATATACTTATGCAAAATGGACGGAATTATATCCTACCGAATTGCCTAAATTCTACACTTACAATATAGGCGAAAGACTACTTAACAAATAGATGCATATAAATAGTGAATGCTACTCAGACGATTGATTTCAATACACTTGAATGCCTCCAAAGCCTCAGGATGGTCGGGGGTGGGTGTCTTGCGCTGCGGGTTGGCCACCCGTCCGCACACCTCTTGAAATGCTCCCATATGACCGGGCGTCTTAGCCTCTCGTGAGGAAGTCCTACTCACTGCCTTCACGTGGCGGAGGTGTTTTTCACCAAAGTGAGAGGGCGAAAGCGGATGCCCGGCGCTCTTCACCGGGTTGACTGTCCATTGGATGACAGTCTAGGGGAGATGGCTAAACCCTGATTCCAAACCTCCAACGACTGGCGTATGAAGCTCACTGGAGCTCACCGGCAGACGTATGGACAAAGGGCTTGTTGGATGTCCTGGATGTCTCGCCCCATTCAAAAAGGCGTATGAACCGAACTCCGGTCACCGGTCGTCAATGGATAGTGGACTCACTACTCCACTCCTACTGCCTTGTAGGTCACACTTGGTTGTGTAAAGGCTAGAGCTGCACTCTCAAACAAAGGCCAAGCGATTCTGGGGACATCACTCGTACAAAATTTCCATGAAACTTCATGAACTCTCTTACAAACGACTCTCACCATGCTACGGCGTTCCCGGCCTTGCATCAGATTGCCGCGCCTGGGCAGCGATGATTCGAGATGTTCATGAAGCCGGCTCATCCTTCCGTAGGAGATAGCCGAAGTAAGGTAAAGTAAGTAATAAACTTGAATACTGCAAAATACAGTTTACAGGATTTCATCATGAGCTGACAGTGAGATGCTCACTGGCGACTGGCCCTATTCAGGTAGGTAGTTACCTGGGGTTCTAGTGGGAAGTCGTGAGTTCATGGGCCATTGGGTCGGATCCCAGTGGCTTAGTGGTCTACGACTTCGCCTTGTAACCAGAGGGTCCTGGGTTCGAACCCTGGTGGATGCGTACTGATGAGGAGTCCTAAACTAGGACGAAACAGCTGTCCAGTACTCTCAAGTTTTCCAATGGTTCTCTAACCAATGTCTGCTCATGATAAAATCCTGTAACCAATCAACCAAATCCCTACAAACCAATACTTGAAAATATATTTTAAATTGTTATTTATATCCTGTGGAAAAAAGAAAAGGTAATAGTTCATTATAACAAATTTTCACTCTTAGATTAATTGAATGAACAAGCAAAGGAAACAACACAAACACTCAGTGGAACAATTTTCTCCGCCGAAAATAAAACACAGAAATCTTTGCAAACAAAAAGAGAAAACAAGTTCTACTTTTGATATCATTTCATTTCTACTCTTTTGTTTTATATAATTTGAAAGCAAAATACATAAATAATAAGTGTGAAATATAATACAAATATGATTGATCACTTTCTCTTCCCAATCACACACAATAAGACAAAATAATAAATAATGGAACCTAGTGAAATAACTATCATCATCATCGTGAACACCATTCATTATTCATGAATGCAATAATATGAAGAGAAATAATTATCGATTGTTTCTGTCTGTTTGTGAATAGCTGAAGTAGACGTTTTCTTTTTCAAGAAAAGGAGAAGGGAAGAACAAGAAGAATGATGATGATGATGAATGCGGTGAAATACATAAGCAATGAATAGACATGATTTGGGTTGGGTAGAACTTTTGAAGAAGGAGGTGGTTGTTTTTGAAATAGTACAGAGTTTATAGTCATTTGTTGATATTATGATACAATACAATTTTACAAACTTGTCCAAACAATTGCTTTCTGGATGCGTTCACATGAAACTAGAGAATTACCATTTGGATTCCAGTGACAACAGACGACAGTATTTCTGAAATATAACGAAGAAATAAAAATGGTATCCATGTGATGAAACTAACATATCATTAAAAAGAAAATATTCAAAACTGTGTCAAATCACTTGATTAAACCGCTGTCAGATGATCTTCTTGTGAATTTATCAAGGAAGTCTACCCTCTGATGCTCACGTGTTATATATATATATATATATATTGATTAATGTGAGGTGAAATAACTACATATTGAACAGGAACAAAATCAGTAATCTATAAAAAGTGGGTCTTTTCACTTACTTTACTACAACAGGTTTCGTGCATTTATTTCCAGGGGAACGTCAACAGAGCTCTCTAACGTTCACATAAATAAAAGGCTGTGTTTTGAATCCTGCGGTAAGCTAGCATTACTCATTACTTCATTACACAATGAAGATTATTCACAACCAGTGTAGGTGTATCGCCTTAGTTACAGGTTTTACCAGACTTTTATATTTTCGAATATGACCTCAGCGGTAAACAAATATTCACTCATGTATCACAGACAGTTTCACTAGCCAATAATTTAATAGGAGTCGGAAAACTGAGAAATGTGTAAAATCGCCTATTATTCTGAGTTACACGAGTTTTACTTGCCAAGAAGATTCATTCCGAAAGGGAATTCAAGTAACACAGTGGGATGAGAAATGAGGAATTACTCTAAACACCACATAATATTCTACAAAGTAGTTCATTAACACGTCATTCGCATACGATGTATCTTAACAATATAAAATGAGCTGTTACCTTCAAGCGTGGATTGATGCTACGCCTCACACATTCACTTACACATTTCTAACTGAACATGCCAGTAGAATTTACCTTCGACCAAGTGGTTAAGCAGGTGGGTTACATGGCTGTCTGTTGAACATAAAAGTATGAGAATCTATACACCATCTATCATGCAACAGAAAAACAAATGTGATTCCGAATCGAAGGATTTAATGAAATGGAGTGAAATTTAATCGGCGATCGAAACTTTTCATAATGAATTTGGCGTAGGCCAATGAGTTTTGCAATACACCTGTTCTGAAGTCTGCCTTTTGCACAGATAGACTGACTCACAACAATCCAATATTAAATAGAAACTCGCACTGTAAGAACAACCAATAACTCATCACTTGGTGTTAAAGCTCAAGGAAACGAAAGGAGTGTTACGTGGTTTTACGGTACTTAACACCCCAGGCATCTATCTTTGACTGAGCAATAACGAACAATAAATTCTATAACAGACTGATGCTACACAGAGTTGCAGGCAGCTTAACACTGTTGCAAAAAACATTAGTTTGGGCATTTTTAGAAATGTTCATGCAATTTTTGCACTAATCACTTACGTATGATCTCGAAGACAAGTCTCAAGATTCCCTGAATTAGTACTCCAAATATACACCCCACCATCATGCCCACCAGCAGCAACATAATCTGAATCAGGTGAGAAACATGGTCGAACAATGTCTAGACCAGTTTGAAAACCTTCTGCCTTCAAACACTGAATCACTTTATTCATACGTAAATTCACAATTTCTAAGGTATTATTACGTGTACAAGCCAAAACAGTTGTAAAATCTTTGAGGAAAGAAAACAAAGAAAATTAGTCATATGCATAACTTAGAATTAAAAAGCAATTAATACTACTAATTTAGAAAAAAAGAAAACTCCATAATAAAAATCAAGGCTTAATTACTTCATACATGTCATCCAATCAGAATAGAAGTGGATTTTGAGAGAATTACAATCAATTACAATAACAGTTAGTTGGCGGATAGTGACCAGCAGTGGAATCCAGGATAATGTGCATTTCATCCTATTTGGGACTCATCATTTGGATGTACCTGCATTACGCATTGAGTGATGATGTTCCCACCGAGGCTCGAACCCAGTGACCATAGTTTCAAACGCCAAAGTGTTATCCACTAAACCACCTGAGCCACGAGAGCCACCTCTTGTGCAAAAGGGTCATATTAATTACCTATTTCAATTTTAGATTTTCCCGTCGATTGATTGGACAGAAGTGCTCAGTCTCAGGTTGATATGTCG